AAAAGGAAGAGGAAGGGAATTATATCCCTTCATTTCTCTCCTTTTTCTTTCCTTTTCTTGAATAAATAATTAAAATTTAAAAATATAAAATAAAGATAAATTTTTTCTTCCCCTTCATTCTCATCAACCTAAACATATTATAAGTATTTTATTTTTCTTTTAGTATTTACAATTAAGGTGTTTTTTATATTAAATTGGGCATTAACCCCAATACTTAAACTCTAGAATTGGTTTATAAAACGGCATTTATTTGCCAATAAACCCAACCCTTGAGTAAAGTGATATTTGTTTATGATATTTGAACAATGATTATTTTTTTATAAAATAAAACAACCTAATAAAAATTACATATTAGAACCAATTTTACCACTGACAACAACCTAAATGATTTAGTGGTCATGACATGTGGGTGGGGTGGGATAAAGAATGAGAGATAATTGCCTCTCATTACGCAAAAAAAAAAAGAAAAAAAACCAATATTACCACTCCTAAGGTAACCTTCCAAAAAACGAAAAAAAAAAAAAGAAAAAAAAAAGAGAAAAAGAAAGCAAAATCTTTTCTTTGGTATTGAACTAAGCTAGCTCCATGCTAAGACTTCCTCAAATATTGGACATACGGTGCGTGAACACCAATCTTACCAAGATCATAGACATCCCTTTTTCTACTACTAGCATGAGAGTTCTTTTACTAAAGAATTTTGTCCCACCTCCCACGGCTCCTAGAAACTATTCTCCCCTGAAGTGTTCGGTGCAAAATATTTATTTCTCAAACCTCTAACATGTTTGGTAAAATTTTGTACAATGATGGAAAAGAGCAACTTACTTAAGAAATAGTTGGGAGAACTTAGGATAATCAAACAATAAAGATTAGTTTTAAAACGTACCTCACGTTGTTTAATATGAAGGATAGGAGATAGGACGAATCTTCTTCTTCTTCTTCTTCTTCTTCTTCTTTTTTGGCATTATGAATATGAAGGATTTAAAATCAATCCCAAACTTTTGAAAAATGTTAAATAAGATCCTTCAAATTTTATTTATTAAAAAAAATATTTTTAGAATTTAAGTAAAGTGTTTACAAAAAGATATTGATTATGATTTTTTTGCAGATTAGATTAATTTTTTATTATGATTTTAAAGATCTCTTAATTAAATGCAAGATAAGCTTTGATTCCCGACTAGAAATTTAAGTTTTATTTGATATATTTTTTTTAATTGGTATTTTAATAATTTGTCATTTTCTTTGACGTAAATGATTTTTGGAGATGAGTTTGTTACCGAGAAGAAAGACCTTCACTTTGATATTTTATGATTAGGATCAATCCTCCTCCTCCATAATACTAGCAATAAGATTAACTTTTAGCAGATTGTCAATGTGTTATGTCCCAATATCACTATCTCAATTGATTGTCACCCCCTCCTCAATAATATAAAATTAACTTTTAGCAGATTGTCAATGTGTAATGTCCCAATCTAATATATCAAACTTACCTTTTGTACTAACAACATTCATCCACAAAATAAAAAGAGGTGAACATCATGGCCGAAAGCCGCTGCCAGATTTTTTGTTCAATGCCCAAATATCTCTGTTGCTACCATTCATATAATCATTCTTTGGCTATAAATTGCGAATTTGATACAAGTTTGTGCTGAGTTTGTTTAGTAAGCCGTAGCCCACAGGGGCGGGGAACAGGGTGTCCCTTTCCCAAGCAGGTTGGGTCTCCCCGTCCTAGCCTGGTCCATTATCATTACATGATAATGTACCCAACCTGCCTGCTCCATTGTCATCTAATGCATTTTCATGATCTGCCTATTTATTACGTTTGTCTACATTGCGAATTTGATACTGTTTGTTGTGCTTGTTTTCTTTCGGAGTGCCTTTTTCTTGCCTTGTTGTGTCCCCCAGCCTGACATCATTTCATACATTTTTATATTTTTTTGGGTAATAAGATCTTTCTTAGGTAAATTCTAGGTATCTTAAGATTAATTTTTTTTATCAAGTTAAAAATAAGTCATCTATAGTAAAATAAAAAAAAATTATGAAGAATTATTTCTTCATTAATCTCAATTTTTCATTCTTGGGTCATGCAACTTATGCTCTTAATGTATAAATTATTTATTTTCTTTTATATTTACAGTAGGAATGTATCAAATTTAAATTTTATATATATCAAAATTAATTCCCCTTTAGTGATTTTAAGAACACATCCCTGCATCGGTTTACTGCATAAAAATCTGAATCTAATTTATAAGATAATATTTATTTATTAGTAAATTAAATCATTTTAGTGATGGATTAATGATGTTATTTTGCCAACGACCAAAGTAGCTTAATGGTTATTTCCATCCGCTGGAAGTAATAAGTTTTGAATTCTAGTCGTATAACATACGGCTAAGATAGAAAAAAGATCGAAGATAATTAATTCTCATTATGTAACTAAAAAAAAAAAAAAGATGTTATTTCTACAAGGATGATAATTACAGTGGACCTGTCGTTGTTACTTGGGTTGGGCTGCCAAGTCAATGGTTTTGTGTGTTTGGGCTGTAATGTGATAGTGGACCGGGTTACCAACAATTTTAATATTTTTAGGCTGTCTCGGGACTCGACCCAATACCAGACGTAGCGAGTACCCACCAAAGTCCGTAAGGCCGAATCTCTGCTCTGAAAGTGGACACAAATGGAAGTCGTGAACACTTACAAACGCAAGCGGGACACAGCCGTCGCACCTGCTGGCGCCACCGCCGTCGCACCCACTGGCGTCGTCGCCGGCAGTAACGACATTGACCTTTCTCTACTTGAAGCCGTCGAGAAATCTCAAAGCACCGTCGATGTGCTTGACATCCGCACCTTGAAAAAGCTAGTTCTCTCCTTCGAGCGTCGGCTGAAAGAGAACATCGAGGCTCGCCTCAAGTACCCGAACCAACCGGAGCGATTTGCGGACTCCGAGATCGATCTTCACGATGAGCTGCAGAAGCTCAAGATCCTTGCTGGAGCACCTGAGCTCTATCCCGATCTTGTCAATCTTAACGCCATCCCGTCTATACTCAATCTATTGTCTCACGAGAACACCGACATTGCCATTGATGTCGTGCAGTTGCTCCAGGATCTAACGGACGAGGATGTTTTGGACGATAACGATGAGCCAGCCAGCATTTTGGTGGACTCGCTTATTGAAAACAACGTATTGGAGTTGTTGGTGCAGAATTTGCAGCGATTGTCGGAGACTGATCCGGATGAGATGGCTGCAGTTTATACCACGTTGGCGACGATTGAGAATTTGATCGAGGTGAAGCCAGCGGTGGCGGAATTGGTGTGTGAAAGGACCAAGTTGTTGAGATGGTTGTTGGGGAAGATAAAGGTCAGGGAGTTTGATGGTAACAAGCAGTATGCTTCAGAGATTCTGGCCATTTTGTTGCAGAACAGTACAGCAAATCAGAAGAGGTTGGGGCAAATGAATGGGGTGGATGTGGTGTTGCAGGCGGTGGCCATGTATAAGTCCAAGGACCCCAAGAGTGCGGATGAGGAAGAGATGCTAGAGAATCTATTTGATTGCTTGTGCTGTCTGCTGATGCCTTTGGAGAACAAGGAGAGGTTTGTAAAGGCTGAGGGTGTAGAGCTCATGATTATAATTATGAAGCAGAAGAAATCAGCTTATGGTTCTGCAATAAGAGCGCTTGATTTTGCCATGACCAAGTATCCACCTGCATGTGAGCGGTTTGTGGATGTCTTGGGTTTGAAGACTGCCTTTGCTGCTTTCATGGGTAAGGCAAGTGTTTGTTGCCTTTTTCCTATTTCTGTTATTATGTTACACCTATTCAAAATGCTGGAGCTTCGCTGTGAATCCGAGAATTTTGTTAAATTTATTTGTTTTATCTCTGTTACAGGACAGCATTTAAAATAAAATTTTTGCGATTATTAATAGATGATAACCATGTTGCAAATGAATACTATGCATTCAGGTTGAAATGCTTTTTGTTTGTAAAGCAGATATTGGCATTGCATTAGAACATTTGACAGACAATTCAAAGAAACATCTTTTTTCCTCTTCTATTATTTAGATTCCAAACAAGAAGAATAAGAAAGAACGGTATCAGGAGGAGTTGGAAGAGCGCCTTGTATCCTTACTTGCATCATTATTTGGTAAGCACGCAAGTAAAACTTATTTTAGCATTTTCTATAGATGCATTTTATAACTTATGATTAGAAGTGACAATATTCTTTAGTTTCCAGCTTGTGCTTGCAACTTTGGTTTGGTATGAACTTTTGGCTATATGTTTAGAAAAAGCAGAGATCCTATATCCCCGATCAGGAATTTTGAAACTTGAAACTTGTAACAAATGCTTATTATTGTTGTGATAGATGCAATCCAAACAGTAGCTATCTATTGTAGCTTTAACTACATAAGCTTGAAAGTTTGTCTAGTGAGTTTTTAATCTCTACCTATCTCTTCTTAAGAGTTCTCACACTCAGTCTACGTTTTGGAACAAATGGTTAGACTCCAGTTTTTAAATGTCAATAATATCAACAGTACTTATTTTTCTAATGTAAATAGGGTTTGACTTCATCAATCCATCTGTCGCCCAAAGTTGCAAATTGCAATGCTCTTGGTTATATTTGGTTTAGAAAGTTTATCATGTTTCTATCTTGGAGCAGGAAAAAATTTTTATTTACTAAATTTAATTATTTTGCAGTTTAATCTGATGCTGAAGCTTGTCTATATATACTATATATTAGCTGTCCACAAAATTTTGTGCTTATTGTCTCCTTTCCAGGTGGAATTTTAAGGGGTTCTAGAAGGGACAGGTTGTTAAGTAAGTTTGTTGAGAATGAGTGTGAGAAGATAGACCGCCTTATGGAACTGTACATGAGGTAATGCCTTAATGTACTTGTTTCCTTTCAAGCTGCATAGTGATGAGATCAATCTCAGAGTCTTAGATTTCATTTATTTGTTGAGAAAATCAACCATGCTCCTAACTTTTTCCTCTTGTACACGTGGGGTTCCTTCTTTCTAAAATCATTATAGCTCTCTCTGGCTTATAGCTCTCTCTGGCTTCTGCTACCAAGAGAGCTATAGTTGTTTTGTTAGTACATACTAATTTTAGAATATTTTAACTTATTCACATCTCACAAATTGTTAATCTTGGTCAGATATTCTGATAGAGTGAAATCAGAAACTCGAAGGATGGACCAACTTGAACTTGATGATTTAGAGGTAATCTACTTGTTTTTGTTTTCCAGTCTATATTAACCTTGAATGAACTTTCTAAATGGTATGCCTTCCATTTTTCAGATGGATGAAGAGGAAAGGTACAATAGAAAGCTTGAATCTGGACTTTACACTCTTCAGGTCTGTTTTTGTTGTTCTAGTTTGTGGATGTTTTGTCATGAAAACTGTGCGAATTTTTGACATGTACCATCAATTAATTGCTTATAAGTTAAAATGGATGTTACATGATTTCATCATGAAATTGGTAATTAGTTGAACCCTAAATGTTTTACTGAAGTACTTATTCTTTTGCACACCATATTCACATTAATGTCTAGTGATGACTTATGAGAGTTTTTGATCATCATTAATGTTAGGTTTTATTATGAAATTTCAACTGTAGTGTCATATATGCTTCATTGGAATATGTCAATTTTATTTACCTGATAAATCATTGAGATCCCTTGGGTGCATCATTAATGGTCTGCTATGATGGATTAAGATTTAATGACTACATGGTTGTCTAGCTAAATGAACTATTTTAATTTATTGTTTTCGTAGAAGTTTTTTGATATCCTTACCCCTTTGCTTTGTGCTTTCAGCATCTTAATCATTATGGCTTCTAATCTTTTGTTGCTTCAACCTGCAGTTGATTGCAGTTATGCTAGGTCATCTTTGGTGCTCTGAGTAAGCTTTTGCACCTCATTTTGCCCATCGCTATTAATTCTGCTGCCTTTTTTTGGTACATCTGACTCTGATCATAAGCTATCATTCAAACAAGGGATAGTCCTCTCCTTTCCCAAACCCCTCCTGATTTATCCTGAGATTCAAACATGATACCTACAGGCTCCAACATTGAAACTCAAGTGGTTAACTGTTGGGACATCCCCTAAGGAGGCATTAATTCTTCTGCTTGATTGTTGTATTTGTGACATTGATTTTTGATGAGTTTGTAAAAAATTTGTGCAGGCAGGCACAAATGAGAGCTAGAATTGATTTATTACTCAAGCAACAAAAGCTTAGTCGGAAAGATGTCAAGGATATTCTTCAGGTAAGTTGTTTAGGACTTCATTCTTTTCATATGATTTTTGGATATGGGAACAATCTAAAATTCCATTATTAAATGGTAAAAGTTGCATAAGGTGCCTTTCAATTTGGAAAAGGTTTCAAGCTGTCGGAAAAAATGCTTAACACTTCAAAAATTTCATGAATTTTGCTTTTAGATATCTGAATTCTAGATAACTAGATACATATTTTTTTTTTGTACTCGTATGTACTTGAGTCCTCAAGTGTTTGACTTTGGCCCTATTAATAACTTAATATCTTTTTCAAATACATTTTTGTGATAACTCTGGTAGACTGTTTATAGATAAATTCCAAAATAGAGGAATGCTAAGAACATTCTCTCTAACACTTTCTTTTGGATACTTTTTATTTGATTGGGACACAAGTGACATAAACTTAATGTGATTGGTCATAGTTTCAAATTTTAAAAACATTAACTTTAATGTCAATTGCTAATCACCAGTCACAGTAAATTTATGTTCTACATGACCCAATTAAATGGAGAGTGTTCAAAATAGAGTGCTAGAGAGAGTGAGATCGTGCAGCTGAGTGAGATCTAAAGTGCAGTCATATACTACAACTTCCTAACAGCTGAGTGAGATCGTGGTTATTCCTGAATAATGCACTTTTCTAAATTGAAAAATGAATAGATTATTCACGGGAATACCATGCACTCAATATCATTCGTGTGTTTGCAACAGCATTGTTCTACCATCTTGAAACAAGTTTTTATTGGTTGTCTTTTAACACTGCTTCCCTGCTAACACAGGAATATCATGATAACATTGGTGACCTAGATGGACCAGAAGAGAAGGAACGTGCACAGGGAAGGATACAGAAGTTCATCCTGGCTTTATGATCATCACATAAGATTAAACTAGTCTGAATGTCAGTTTAATGTTGAGATATATTGTGGACGAACTGAGATACTTATGCAATTAGGTTGTGTTTGGTTAAGTTTCTCCAGAGGGTTGAAGGGAGAACATTAGGAATTTGGATGGGATGCAATTAGCGTTGTTGTTGTCAACTAGAAAAATGGCTAGGATCCAGAGCAATCAGTATTGTTGATGGTATAGACAAACCCAATCGTTGTGGATCATATGCAGTGCATTCTTGATCCACGACGTTATTATAACTCTATGGTAATGGGAGTCTGGCTGGGTTAGTGTTTATGACTCGAGAGAGACAGCTAACCCTTGGTTGTAATTAAAAAAAAAAAAATTTTAACTTGTGTTTTGAGATATAATTATTAATTTTTTACATTAAGTAATATTAAAAAAATATAAAAGAATTGACCTTCAAGATAGTTCGTCTCCAAATCTTAAAATATTTAGATTTGTTATTCAAGGTTTTAAATTTTATAATGTCTTAAAAAAAATCTCTTATTTTTAAAATTGTATACTGTTAAAAAAATATATAAAAATTATTATTAACTTTAAGAAAAACTGATTCATAGTTTGGGTTTGAGTTATTTTAAATGGTAAAATAATGATTTTCAAATAAGGAATGAGATCTTTTATTCTTAGGTTTTTATTTTTGTTTAAAAGTTTTTACTTTACAATATAAATTAGAAATTATAAAATAATGAATTTTTAATTTTATTATTAATATAACGTAAATTATTTTAATTAATAATTATTTTAATAAAATTTAATTTTTAATTTTTAATATTAATTAATATTAAAAAATATAATAATCAACTTCCTTAAAAAAGAAAAAAGAAAAAAGGAGGGGGGTGGGTGGGGATACTCTAATAAAATAGATGGGTAGGGTGCCGTTGTCACTGCGTCATTCAATAATATAAAACTCAACATAAAATGTTGAAATAGCAATTCTCATCCTTTGTAGTGCAGTCTACTATGATTTGATCGGTAATATTTAACTTTTAGGTTACATATTTTATATTATTATAAAAATATATAAAATATTAATTAAAATAAATATTAAATATACTAGATATATTATATATTTTATTTTAAAAATTCTACAATTACTATTACAATTACAATTAGAGTCCAATTCTCCCTAATTAAATCTAAAATAGGGTAGTTTTAGGTATTAGAATTCTTAATTTCTTTTTTTATAGATGTCAAAAATTAAAATGTTTTGGTATTATTTAAAGATAAAATATGAGTTTAGTAAATGAATAGATATATATAAAATATTATAGTAAATTTTTAAATAAAAATAAATAATTAAAAATATATTATATTATAAATTTATAATATTATTTAACAATTTAACTATATCATTTTTGCTATTTATATAGTTGAGAATGTATACTGTGACATTTGACTTTTCCTAATTTTCACCTTTATTTTTGATATCCAATTTTATCAGCAATCTTCACAACTTAAACTTGGGGATGTGATGATTTCATTTTTGACAAAAATGGTAAAAAATTCAATTACGATTCTTTCTCATCCAGAACGTACTAGAAATTCAAAAACGAACGGCGAGACCGATAACCGTGGATGAATGAAGTCAACGTCGGCCACTTCATCTCGCTCATAAAATACAATCCATTTCTTTTTGAATCTCTAATCCTCTATTACCCCCAACAATGGCTGTCGCTGTGGTTGAATTCCTGCCTAGGGAATATGGCTATGTGGTCCTTGTTCTTGTTCTCTACTGCTTTCTCAACTTCTGGATGGCTGCGCAGGTTGGGAAAGCCCGCAAAAAGTTAGTATCCCCTTCGTTCTTTCATCCCAATTTCAACTGAATTGAACAGAAATCAACAGTTTTCATCAGTAATTTCGTTTTTCTCTTCTGGGTTTTTAATAAAGTGGTACTTTTTTTGAACAGGTATAAGGTTTCTTACCCAACCCTCTACGCATCCGAATCTGAAAACAAAGATGCGAAGCTATTCAACTGTGTTCAGGTCTGTCCCTCGTTTAATCTTTTGGGTTTAGCGTTAAATTTGGGTTTGGATTGTTCTTTTGATGGAGTACCAAAAAAAAAAAATATTGTTGTTGCAGAGAGGGCACCAGAACTCTCTGGAGATGATGCCGATGTTCTTCATACTGATGATATTGGGAGGTATGAGGCATCCTTGTGTCTCTGCTGGATTCGGATTGCTCTATATCGTCGGCCGTTATTTCTACTTCACCGGCTATGCTACCGGCGACCCTCAAAACCGTCTCAAGATTGGGTTTGTTATTTTTTCATTGACTTCGTTTATTATTAATTAAATCATTTGGTGAATTTTCACTTTGGTCCTTTCAATATGAGCATTTGAGGTTTGTGTGCTATATATATATATATATATATATTTCATTTTGTGCAAACACCTTAATACAAGAATTGATTAAAAGGATATAATAGTACCAACACATCATCAATTACTAGAGAGCATCAAAAGAATTGGCTTATACTTGTATCAACAAAATCATGCAAATAGGGTTTGGAATGCATTGATATTATTGAACTTTTGAGGTTATTTTGTTGTTTGATAAAATAGAACTTTTAAAGAGTGATAATTAGCGTAGAAAGTCGCACGTTTAAATGCAAATAAATGGAAAAAAAGGAGAACATGATGTATTGTAGTCATTCTGGCCAATTTCTAGAGACCCCTTCTTCTTTTTTTTTTCTAAGAATTATATTAGAGGGACAATTGAAAAATGAACTCTTTAACGAGACAAACTTCTATATTGTATTCAGTGCATGCTGTTTAAGCTAGTCCTCATTGATAATCATAATTCAAGTAATTGTTTTGCAATTTGCATGCAGAAATGGGATGATAGTAAGCAATGGAAGATGAAAATTTGAGTTTTTGAATAACTTTCACCATATTGGTTTGCTATATGTGCATTTAGTCTTCCTTTTTGGGGTCAACATCTGCATGTAAAGTCTAATGTCTTCCTTTTCTACAGGAAATTCGGATTCCTGGCACTATTGGCGCTAATGATCTGCACAATTTCATTTGGCATCAATCTTCTTCAAGGATAATCCCGCGTTGTCTGAAGAATCTAGTTTGGTCTTTGCCCTTTTATCCTCCCTGTCGTAGTCGTAGTCTTTACTTTTGCATAAAAGTCTTTCACGTGGAGAAATGCAACTATGTGCCAGTCTTTCACAACTGTCTATCATGTTGGACTTCAAACTTTGATTTGTGTGGCTCTTTTGTAAGGAATGTTTGAATTTTTGAATGGAAGACCGAGAATAATTAAGAATTATGGCTCAAGTTCCAAATGAGTCAAGATAATAATTTGTTATCCCTGTAGAGGGGCTAGGATTTGAAATTGTTGCTGCTTTATAGATTTTCAAATCCTCCAACTAAACTCGAGGTGGTAATTTTTTATGATAATGATATGGTTATGTTACATATATAGTAGGTTTATATAAATTTATAAAATTAATATTTTATTGAATAAATATATATAATATTATAAATAAAATTTTTTAGTGTTAGTTTATATTATCATGTAATATTGTAATTATTATTTTTGAATTTTGTTAGGATGAATGGAATAAAAAATAGTTTGGGGATTACCTGGAATGTCTCCAAAGAGTTTAGGATGAATGATGCTATTAACCAAAATTTTAGGAATTAAAAAATGAGACTTCCGGGACGGACCTTCCGATTAGGGTTGAAGCGTGTCAAAAGACGGTTGCCACTTAATGCTTGAGTGGCACATACTTGGCCATATGAAATGACATGGAGCCAAGAGACTCGGTTG